TTCTACAACCCGACGATCCAGGCCGACGACTCGCTCGTGTGGTGCAACTACCTCGGCGGCAACGACAAGCCGATTCCGCGACCGCTCATCGACCAGAGCGCATTGGAGAAGAAACTCGTTGTCTAAGAACGATTCATTTCTTATATATATTGATATTTACAAAATACGAGTCTTCTTTTCTTAGACTAAATGGGCGTGACGTGTACGATGGCATTGGCGCTGCCGACATGGTAATCGACCAGTACATATTTATACAAGTTGCAGGGGGACTCGCCGAGGCGCCAGTCATCCGTGGTCCTAGTAAGGCGTCGAGTGCGTTGCTCGTTGGCAGGTGGCACAACACTGCGTCTGGGACGAGGCCAAGACACGGCGGAGATGCAGCGATGTAGGTACCGGTATCTACATACGCCTGGTCGTCGTGAGGATTCCGGCAAATGCCCCCGGGTTGTCGATTGTGTGCTGTGGTCTCGATCGCGCTCGGCGCGTCATGTACAGTTCAAGAGCATACACGGAAGCGACCTCCGTAACCTTTTCGCATAGTATGCTTTGCACACAGAGTAAGGAAGATGCAATCGCTCCTATTTGCTTGGTGTCGCACACGAAGCTGCATTACTCGATGCAAGACGGCCATGGGAGAAGGCGAGGTAGAAGGCTAGCGGTTACTATGCAGTCTCGACAGCAACATGTGTTTTGGTCGCAACAGCCTGCTTTGGAGCACACATGGGTCTCTGACGTACGCTGGATGTCCGAACCCTCAACCGGCGACGGCTCAACCGGCGTCACCCTCGGCCTGTGCGTGCAGCAGCGAGAATTGTGTTCCGGTACATACGAATCTTGCTCTTGCAACGACAAGTGTCAATGAGACCTCAAGCATCGGACGAAGAGAGGACCTTGTTAGGCGTGAACGGCGTATCAGTCGCTCGCTGCATGACGTGGCAACTCGTCGCAGGCAACCTGGTTGCGTCGAAGATGGCGGTGTGTGGGGAAACCGCGGTCGCAACAGCTGACGGCTACGACTGAGCCTGTGCCTGGCGGTGTCGAAGATCACGTACACTGTATATCTTTGTGGTTGGAGCGATTTCGCAGTGTGTACCAAGGTCGATAGTCGGCCAGTTTCTATGGCACGATCGGTACCACCGCCTGTGATGACGCCAAGGACTTCGATCGCAACAACTGGTGCGTCCCACTCTGTCATCATTCGAGCTATCCGTGATGCGAACTGCTCTCACTTTTCCATTTGCCGCCATTCACATCCATGAAGGCCGCCATTGTCGTATCCATCATGGCTGTGCTTGCCCACGCCCGCGACCACAACCCACCGCGCTTCCGTGCCGCGACGCCCTGCTCTGGGTCTGGCTCGGGATCGATCTGGGACTCTGACGACGGGTCTCGTGCTAGCATGTCGAGGTCGGGCTCGTCCTACGACTCGGGGTCGGCGTCCGACTGGGACTCTCAGTCTGGATCCAGGTCCGACTGGAACTCGGATTCGGCGTCAGGCTCGACCTCTAATTCGGATGGCTGCGATGACTCGGACGATAACTCGGGATCGACTGACTCGGCCTCCGGCTCGGACGACGATGTTCCGACACCTGCTCCGACGACACCGACGCCGTCCAGCGTTGCCCCCACCATGACCCCGACGCCGACGACGGTCAGCCCTACGTCACAGTCTGGCTCGGGCTCCGGGCATCCGACACCAACGACGAGCTGCCGGCCGCTGCCACGTCCCACGTCAAGTG